GAGAGAGAGAGAGAGAGAGAGAGAGAGAGAAAGAGAGAGAGACAGACAGACAGATAGATATAACAGGCAGACAGACAGACAGAGGCAGAGACAGAGAGAGGAGAGGTAGACAATCAGGCATGCAGACACTCAGACTAACAGAATTTCCAACATTCAATAACAAATTGAAATAAGCAAAACCTGATAGGTAACGCGTACACTTTCGTTTTAGTAAGAGATTTAAGGCACTTGCAATACAATTAGGTCGTACAAGTACCGACGATTAGAAGTGTTACAAGAAAGTACTTTACTTACTTATCCCTTCGTCTAGATGACCTTTGGAGCACCAAGGATGTTCCAACCACCACCACATTTCTTCAGCCTTCTCTATTATCAACCTTTCCGGGGTTCACCCAACTTTAAACCTTTCCATTCCGTTAAAGTGTCCTCCCACCTCTTTCTCTGTCTGCCCTTCCTTCACCCTCCTCGTACAGTGCCCTGTGGGATCACCTTTGCAAGTTCTTTTGATCTTGTAATGTGCCCACACCATATCAATTTGCCTTTTCACAGAGGTGAGAAGATTTTCATACGACCCACAGGCATGTCTGATTTTGTTCCTCGCTTCCTCATTTGCAACACGGTCTCTGTAGGGATACCCAAAAGTCTTCGAAAGAATCTTATACATTCTGTAGCTTGTATCTTTCTCTCTGATGTAGGTTTCACAAGCGTACAGTACGATTGAAATGGCCAAAGAATGCATCAGTTTTATTTTGGTACTGAGTGCTGTGTTTTTGTCTTTCCATTGGCTTGAGCTTCCATAATGCACCAGTTAATTTTAAGGGCAATCCTGGACAGTATTTCTTGCTTTGATCCTTCATCCATCACCACTGAACCTAAGTATTTAATTTTACTGCAAGCTCTGAATAGTCTCTAGTTTTTGGCCACCAATTCTAATGTTTGAGCTGATTCCATTGATGCTGTTTGTCATCAGCTTGGTCTTTTTTCGAGCTTATCTTCATGCCATATGTTATTGATGATTTATCCACATGCGGACTAACTTGACAAGCTCTTCTTCTTTCCCTGCAAGGGCATCACAGTCATCAGTAAAACGTGTCTTTGCGATTGTTCTGTCACCAGTGCTGATTGATCCTTCATGATCTTCCAAAGCGTCAGTCATGACTTTCTCGAGGAAGGTGTTAACCCTATCCGTACTCCCTGGGGTCATTTTGTACCCTCGGGGTTTTATTATTCACATTTTAAAATACTTCTAGTACGAAGATCTCTTTGAAACGTTCAGTATTTCTCAAAAAAATAATTTTGACAGACTGCTATGCAAAGCGTACGGATCAGATTAATTAGTAAATTTTCTCTTTGGAAAGTGGCGGCACAGAGTTCTCCACGTCGTATGGATACGATAGTAAAGCACGGCGTACGGATAGGGTTAAAAAGAGTCGGTGGAAGCAGACATCCTTGTCTGACTCCAACTGGTGTCCTGAACGATTCTCCTACACTACCATTGTAGTTGTGCACAGAGAGTAACATAAACATTATTAAAAAACAAAGATGATAGATAATAGGAAAACAAGGAAGAAACCACACCAGAGAACCCACCAGCCACCAGTACACAAATCTTTGGATCATTTTTGCTGCTCCTCGACCCTTTCAGGCAACCCGATTACCTCCTCTGGCAAGCGTAAGCAGCTGGTGAAGATGACGTCGATTGTGATGATCCCTGTGGTGGTGTTGACGGGTCTGACGGCAAACACATTCTTCACCACCTTCACCAACTATATCAACTCCTCGCAGATCAGAGACATCCTGCTTTACAGGTCTGATATTAAAAATACTCCCCCCCCCCCCGCACAAAAAACTAACAAACAAAACAAAACAAAACAAAACGAACAAAGTAACAGAAAAGAAGAAGAAGAAGAAGAAGAAGAAGAAGAAGAAGAAGAAGAAGAAGAAGAAGAAGAAGAAGAAGAAGAAGAAGAAGAAGAAGAAGAAGAAGAACAACAACAACAACAACAACAACAACAACAACAACAACAACAACACATACTCACTCACACACACACACACACACACACACACACACACACACACACACACACACACACACACACACACACACACAAAACATTAAACAAACCCCATTTTTTTCGTGGTGGGAGTGGGCGGCAGATATATAACAATATATGGTAGTCTAGATCTAGTGTCCGTGGTATAGGCTAACGGACTCGTAACCGTGATGTTGCGGGTTCGGGCGTCGAGCCTCAGGCCCATTGCTGTGTCCTGTTGAACAGCACTTTACACGAAATTTCCTACCTTCACCCAGGTGGTTATGGGTATCCAGTCATAGGCAGCGAAATATCTTGTCAGTACAGTATGTTAGTGTTTTATCTTTTTAAAACATGGTAGCTTACACTGTATGCTATACAGGAAACTAATATTCTTTCAGAATGGAATCCGCTCTGCTGTGGTAATAATGATATAGATTGTAAAGCGCATAGAACTTGCTACTCAGCGGGGATTTATTATTATTATTATTATTATTATTATTATTATTATTATTATTACTATTATTATTATTATTATTATTATTATTATTATTATTATTATTATTATTATTAGTAGTAGTAGTAGTAGTAGTAGTAGTAGTAGTAGTAGTAGTAGTAGTAGTAGTAGTAGTAGTAGCAACAGCAGCAGCTGTAGTAGTAGTAGTAGTAGTAGTAGTAGTAGTAGTAGTAGTAGTAGTAGTAGTAGTAGTAGTAGTAGTAGTAGTAGTAGTAGCAGTAGCAGAAGTAGTAGTAGTAGTAGCAGTAGCAGAAGTAGTAGTAGTAGTAGTAGTAGTAGTAGTAGTAGTAGTAGTAGTAGTAGTAGTATAATTATAATCATAATTAGGGGCTCTCGGGGCCTAGAGGTTAAGGTGTTGGCCTCTCATTCAAAGGTCCCGGGTTCGAATCCGGGTAGCGACCAAAAAATTTTCTTCTCTAAAAGTGTCTCCTTTCACCTCCTTTCCTGCTCTCTAGCAATGTTCTGTTGTCTGCTTTCATTTCCACTTTCTGCCCCCACCCCCTCACCTCCTTTGCCCCCTCCTCTGGGCTCCTGACTCTTTCTGCAGCCGTTCTACTGCTACTCCTTGGCTCCTCCTTACTTCTGTCTTTCTGCCACACCCCTGATCTTCTGGTAGGAAAGATCTACACCTAGCCTTCTCGGACAAGGGCGAAAAATCTCGGAGGGCCTGTGTGTACGTTGCGCACGTTAAAGATCCCTTGGTGGTCTATAATCGATAAGAGTATGCTTCGGCCGCAACCCGGGCAAAATTCAAAATTTCCTACCAACTGAAAATATTAGGTGTGTCCCGCGCGCTCATATGACCTTATGCAGTTGCGAGCGCCGTAAAACACTTTACAAAAACAAACAAACAAAATCATAATTATCATTGTTATCTTTTCCCTCACAGTGTTGAGCTGGGTAAGGTCATCCATTTCCTTCAAGAAGAGCGCGACATGAGTGCCCTCTATCTCAGTGACCTTGGAAGGTCAAGGTCAAAGAGTCTTCTGCTACAACGATACCCCGAGACAGACAGAGCGCTAGAGAAACTGCCCTTTTGGACCTCAGGTGAGATTCTGGCGTCTACATTTTGAAAACAGGAATCGTCTTGGTTTTGGTGATAGTATAAGAATAAATCTTTTTATATTATAATCGTATTGGTTTTGGAGATAATATAAAAAGTCGTTTTTTATATTATAATCGTCTTGGTTTTGGGGATAGTATAAGTCTTTTTTTTTCAAGTTATCGTCTTGGTTTTGAGGATAGTATAAGTCTGTTTTATATTATAATCGTCTTGCTTTGGTTTTATAAATCGTCTTGGTTTTGGGGATAGTATAAGTCTTTTTTTTCCAAGTAATCGTCGTGATTTTGAAGACAGTATAAGTCGAATCTTTGAGAAGGGCTGGAGCATTGTTTTTAAAGAAAGTAATAGCCTTGTTTTTTAAATACTTTAATAGTCTTATTGTTGAAAATACTTATAATCTTGTTTTTAAAAAAAATATTGCTATATTTTGAACGGAAGTAATACGTTTAAAAAAAAGTATTAGCGTTGTTTTTTTTATTTCGGGAGAGAGAGAGAGAGAGGGTCTTTTTTTTTCAAGTAATCGTCTTGGTTTTAAAGATAATATTTGTCAATTCCTTGAGAAGGGCTGGAGCCTTGTTTTTAAAGGAAGTAAAATAACCTTGTTTTTAAAAAATGCTGTTATAGTCTTATTGTTGAAAATAGTAATAGTCTTGTTTAAAACAAAATAATGCTATATTTTGAACGGAAGTAATAAGTATTTTTAAAGTATTAGCGTTGTTTTCTTTATTTTGGGAGAGAGAGAGAGAGAGAGAGAGAGAGAGAGAGAGAGAGAGAGAGAGAGAGAGAGAGAGAGAGAGAGAGAGTCTTATTTTTGAAAATAGCAATAGTCACAAGTTTAATGAATATCTAGTCTTACTTTTTGAAAAAAAAGTTATACTTTTAAAAGTCTAATCAAAGCTTAGTTTTTATACTTTAGACTAATGAAATGTTTGAAAAGAATGTTTTTCCTACCTTATTCACAAATCGCTACCTCAGAATTACAAAGTTCTATCTGACATTTTTGGCTGTTCTGAGTTACTAAGACCATGAGGTCAGAAACCAAATGTTCTATCTGCTCTATCAAAATCGTAAAATTATTCAAACTCATTATCAAGACGTTAAAAAAATTGCATATTAAGAAAAAGCTTGACATTAATAATGTGAAACTAAAAATCTTTGACGTCACATTTCTTTAAAAACAACAACCCAACAACTAGGTACTGTGCAGATAGAACTTTGTTATTCGTTGGTAGCGATGTTGCAAACAATCTGACCCACCCCTTCAGAACTTTTTAATTCGTTGGTAGCTATGTTGCAAACAAATCTAAACCACCCTTCCTTCTACCCAACCTCTCGCTCACCAGGCCCCACTCTGACGAGGGCGGAGTTCCAGTCCAAGGATAAGTTCCTCTCCTACCTGAACAGACATCGCTACGAACTGGACACGCTGAACCAAACAGTGACGCAGGAACTGGAGATGTACACCAGTCTGATCCGAGTGTTTATCACATGGCTCTACTCCGCTATCACAGGTTTTGAAGTTTATCTACTCCGCTATCATGGGTTTTGAAGTTTATCACATGACTCTACTCCAGGTTTTGAAGTTTATCACATGGATCTACTCCAAGTTTTGAAGTTCATCACAAGGCTCTACTCCGCTATCACAGGTTAACCCATCGTAATGCTGACCTCTTTACTCCGTGGCGTCGGTAGACTAGTAGTTAGGCTACCGGACCAGTACTCATGAGATTGCGGTGAACCAAACAGTGACACAGGAACTGGAGATGTACACCAGTCTGATCCGAGTGTTTATCACATGGCTCTATTCCGCTGTCACAGGCTTTGAAGTTTATCACATGGCTTTACTCCGCTATCACAGGTTAACTCATTGTTACTGCTAACCTCTTCACTGCTTGGCGTCGGTAGACTAGTAGTTGGGCTACCGGACCAGTACTCTTGAGATTGCGGGTTCAGGGCGTCGGCCCGACGTTGTGTCCTTGGGAAAGACACTTTATACACGAATTACCTATAATTTGGCTCAGTCCTCTCGGAGAGGGACGTTAAACTAGGAAGTTCCATATCTTAAATAACTTAATAGTGTTGATAGCGGGCGTTAAACCTGTACTATTTCACCATTTTATTATCTCTTGCATTCTTAACAGTATCATTAACACCAACAACAACAGCACCACTATCACCAACATCATCACCACCACAAACAACAACGACACCACCACCACAACTACCACCATCACCACAACCAACAACCCCCACCACTACCACCACCACCACCAACTTTTGCTCACCTCACTACTTTCAGAGGCCCAGTCCGGCTTCATATGGCGGTCTCTCGTGGCGTATCAAGAAGTCATCATTGCCAAAGAGTACATGGGCTTGGAACGAGCTCTGGGCACCATTTTCTACATGGAGGGTCGTTTCCCCAGCCAGGACATCTACCTGTGGTTCTCCGAGAGCCAGGATGTGGCCAACGAGACTTTCCTGTCTGCCAGACGCTACTCGGACCTCGTCGCTGCCTTGTACAACAAGAATATTGAGGTTTGGCGTCAGAGCTTTGGTCGTGGTTGAAGGCGATTTGGTTGTTATTGCTGTTGTTGTTGGTATTGTGTGTGTTTGATTTATTTTGTTGTTGATTTTGGGTGTTGTTGTTGTTGTTGTTGTTGTTGTTGTTGTTGGTATTGTGTGTGTGTTTGATTTATTTTGTTGTTGATTTTTGTTGTTGTTGTTGTTGTTGTTGTTGTTGTTGTTGTTGTTGTTGTAGTTGGGGATTTAAGGTTTTGTTTTGTCTGTTTTTTTCTGGATTTTTGTTCATTTTTTGTTTCTTTTTCGCTTGTTCGTTTGTTTTGTTTTATTTGTGTTGAAAGGTATATATAATCCAAACAAGCTCATTCAGAGTGCTTCACTGTTTATTCGTTTATGACTATCTCGCCGTAAAAAAAATCCAAACTCACATCATGTTATAATATAAGCTTACTTTTGAAGTAAAATTAACTATTTGTGAGGCAGAATGGTGGAATCAGGCTCTCGTCAAAATAATGAAATCGAAGAAAACAGCAGTTTTCTCCCTGCTTAGCAGTTTTTATCACATTTTTGTTTTTTGGCTCAACACCTTTTATGTCCATTTACGAACACATTCCTTTGAGGATTTCACCGAAAACGTTGATTAAAGGCACAAAAATATAAATTTACAGTTTCCATGGAATCTTCAGTTTTGGAATTTACCAAGCTTTGGCGGCCATTTTCTCGCTAATTTTACCTCTTAAATTAGGTGACTCCCACCTCCTTCAATCCAAAATATCCCCACTTCTATTGAAGAATGATGGGTAATTTTTTCCATTGAAAGCAAGACAAGTGAACAAGCTGTAAGATGATACCAATAACTCAATATGCCCCAAAATTGACGAGAGCCTGATTCCACCACACTGCTTCACATTTGTCATTTTGTGACATATTTTTCCACCACCTCCCCCCCCTCTACCCCCCTCCCCCGCAAACCTCTAACAGGGTAACGAGATGCTGCTGGTGGTCCTGGGTCGTATGAGGGCAGAGATCAGGCGGAACGACCGAGGAGGTATCGGTTCCTTCAAGACGGCCGAGTTCTGGTTCAACAACATGACCCGTTACATGGATCTCTTACTGGAGACGCAGAGAGAGCTGGCTGTGGAGATCACGCAGGTTAGTTCAGCGAGCGATTTGGGTGG